GGCCTGACCAAAGCAGAATAGAGTGGCACTATTACGTCTCTTGATCTATTTTTCTTGTCCAGTTCCAGGCATAAGGTCATTTACCAAGGCAGCCGATACCATCTCAGTTAGGGTGACCAGATATCCTAACTATAAAGGAGGATAATACACTGCAAAATGCAGGACATTCAAGAAAAACGGAGGACATGGCCAAATCTACAAATGCCTATACTTGTGAGAATAAACCCCTAGTGTCCCACTAAGGTGTTTTGTTTTTTTTTGGCTTTCTTACTCTTCGTACTTTTGTCTCTGACTTTGTGTAGAAGTCCTTGGCCTGGATCCCCAATGCATCCCTCATTATAAGCCTATTAAACTAACCCTTAAAGTCTAGACTGAGACCAGTGTAAAGTTGTTATAGTTCTGATACAGATTGATTTTTGTCAAATATGGCATGGGTTTGAAAGGTTAAATATTTTGGAATATTTAATGAATAAGTACTTTTGGAATACTGATGTTATGTACGTATGCATCTAGAGTATTTGCTGTGTCAGGAGTTGGACTGTATACCCATATAATTGTTAGATTAGCTCTTACTAAGGCAGAATAAATGTAAAGCATTATGTAAGAAGCCACTTTCATAAACCTGTCTCTCAGAGTTCTAGGGAAGTTGTCTTCCACGGAACATCAGAAATCTCTAATGGCTGTGAGTCATCTTATTGTCCTAGTTCTGTCTCTTAGATCCAAGAAACACAGGATCTTTTCCAACAGCAAGAGAAGTGAAAGTAGAATAATTAAATTTTTAAATAGCCTTACTGGGAACTAAATAAGATACTGCAAGGAAAGAGGAAAAAAAAACCCTTGTGTTCTGCAAGGGTTAAAATTTAAGCACCAATACAATTATACCAGATAATACCCATGACCTGTAACAGTTCCAGGCTCAGCAAAGTGCCCCTGCTAGGCTTCCTCAGTGATAGTGGTGGGGAGCAGCCCTGTTGGCTGGATCTGAGTCACAATATACATTTCACATAAAATCCCCTGGTGTAGCTATATTCTGGGGGAAATTTTGGTAATTATAATATCAGTTGTTAGACCAGCTACCTGGCATGGGTGATCTGAGTCAGTTTCAGTGCAAGTGAGCAATGCTGGGCTCAAATAGGTGCCAAAAAGTGCCATGTGTCAATATTAGCAATCACAATACAGTCGGCTTTCCCCCCATGTCAAGCATTATTCTAAGAGCTTATTGGATATTCCATATCCTCTAGCATTAGGAGGGGATGTCATTTTTTATTGGCTTTTGTATTCAGTTGGGTTTTCTTTTTTCTTCTAAACATGACTTCATATTCTGGAGATAGGTATACTTTATATACATAAAGTGAATGTTAAAATAGAATTAAACTATTCATTATATTAAAACATTTCAAACATCAAATTAAATGAAAAAATACAATTAAAAAAGATAAAAAGCTATTAAAATAGTTCAGTTGAAACAATTCAGCACCCCAGACTGTTCTTCAAAAACCTTCTGTTATAAAAGCCTATCAGAATTAAAACATTTTATCCTGCTGATGGAAGGACAATAAGGAGGGGACCATTCTGGCCTACTTGGGAAGGGAGTTCCAGAGTCTGGGAGCAACCACTGAGAAGGCCTCTCACATCCCCAACAACTGTGCTTACAATGGTGGTGGAACTGAGAGAAGGCCCTCTTCTGATGATCTCAGAGCCCAGGAGATTCATGCAGGGAGATATGAGCCTGAAACACATGGGCCAAATAAAGTGGCTTCTGGCCACTTTGGTGTTTAGATGACGCATGGCCCCAAAGGAGGCCACCCTGAGGCTGAGCCAAGCCAGCAAGAGCCGGCCCTTTTAGGAGTGGATTTAATCCGCTCCTGCCAGCTGCTGGTTTAGGGCTGTGGCCCATTTAAGGAGTGGGCTATGCGGTTGCTGCAGTCCTGGGTTGATTGGAACTGGAGCGGCTAGAGTCTGCTCCTTCTGGGCTGTTTGCTTCGGCTTATGGTCTGCCAGATAGCTTGGACCTGAATTATACATATAGGACTTTATAGAGCATAATCAGCACTTTGGGATTGGCTTGGAAACAATCTGGCAGCCAGAGCAACTGTTTTAACAGGAGTGCAGTATGGTCTGTGTAACCTGCCCCAGTTAACAGTCCAAACACTCTTTAAAGGCAGCCTCAAGTAGAACATGTTCCAGTAGCCAAAATGAGATGTAACTAAAGCATGTTCCACCAAATCCAATATCCCAGGAAACAGACACAGTTGCACACAAGCTTTAAATGTGCAAAAGCATTCCTGGCAGCTGCAGAAACCTGAGCCTCCAGATTCAAAGCTAAATCCAGGAGTATATTCAAACTTCAAACATGTATCTTCATGGAGAGTTTAACCCCATTTAACACAGCCTGAATCCCTATTTGCTGATCCTTTCAACTGACCAGGAGCATCTCTGTCTTGTCTGGATTAAGCTTCAATTTGTTTGCCCTTATCCAGTCCATTACTAATGACAAGCATGTTTATCACCAAGATCCTTGGATTGGTTGGAAAGGTATAGTAGAATTGGGTGTCATCTGCATATTTATGGTACCACATCCCAAACTCCACACAACTTCTCCCATTTATTTCATGTATATATTAAATAGCATGGAGGACAAAACAACTCCTGAGAGAACCTCAGCAGCCTGGGGTTGAATAGGAATTTCCCAGCATCAGGTTAATAATAATAATAATAATAATAATAATAATAATAATAATAATAATAATAATTTATATCCTGCCCTTCTTCAGAACAAAAGGCTCATCCTTCCTGCAAGGAATGGAGTTCCATCCCAGTGATGCAACCCAGAAGGATACCATAGTTGATGGTATCGAAAGCTGCTGAGAGGTCCAGCAGAACCAGCAGGGACACATTCCCCCTGTCCAGTTCCCTGTGTACATCTTTTGCCAAGACAAGCAAAGTTTTCTCTGTCCCATAGCCAGGCTTGAAACCACATTGATATGGATCCGTCTGTTTCACTCAGAAATCCTCTGGAGCTGGGAGGCTTCCACATACTCCAGTACCTTGCCCCAAAGTGATATATTGGACACTGGCTGATAATTATCCATTAAAGAAGGATCATGGGATAGCTTTTTTTTAAACAAAGGCCTCACAACTGCCTCCTTTAGTTAGAATTCTGCCTTGTTGTAAGGACTCATTGACTACTCCCTTCATCAGCTCTGCCAGTCCCCCTCTAGCCTGTTTAATAAGCCAGGAAGGATAGGGATCTAGCATACATGGGGTGGTTCTCACCTCTCCAAGGATCCTGTTCACATCCTCAGGCTGCACAAATTGAAAAGTATCCAATAACACTTTACAAGCAGGAGCCAAAGTTACATCCACTGGAACTGTATCAGTTACACTCAGCATCCAAATTGTAGTAGTGGATCAGAGCAATTTTATCTGCAAAATGCCATGTAAATTCTCACAGTGGGCTTTTAAATTTTAGACTTAAAGATTAAAGATTTAGATTATCTCATGTTCCAAGAATTCTGTTTTCATCCAAGAAACAAAACTTTATGCTTAAAAATGCCACATGCTGTGATTTGGGCTGTTTGGTTATGACAAACAGGTCTGCTAGTATGGTTTTGCTTAGATTACCTGAAGGGATTTCATGGCTGCGGATCTCCAACCATCATTCAGTAGCATATGAGAGAGAAAAAGAGGGAGGGAGGGAGGGAGTAGCTAACAGCTTGAAATGATAGAGGAGCTGAATATATTTCTCTGGATGCAACTCTTGAGGAGATCATGAGCTGCACTAGTGATTTTTCATCTCCCTTATACTTGGCATGTCCATTATGGCATTTTTGTCAATGTACATTCTTATGTCTGCTTGAAGGCCAAGATGCTTAATCTATACAGGGGATTGTATTCAAAATCCATACAGAACTAAAGATCTTGAGGGCATTGCTAATTCAGCTGATTGTGCCAAATATGGTTGACTTAAAACCTTTATTAGTGTTTACATAGAGGCTGACCTACTTTGGGAAAAATATTTCTCTAAACTGTGAATCCTTATATTTTGATTTTATACTAGGAATTATTTTACTGAGGTAACAGGAGACCAGATTTTGCATTCTGACATCTGTGGGAATCATTAAATATAAGACACTCTTCTTTTTTTCAATATTGTTCAAGAAAAAAGGGATTATGATGTACAGAGCCTTGCTTCCTAGTTGCTTTCATAATCTCCAGATTAAATAAGAAGGGAAGGATGGGAAGAGTGAAAGAAGGAAATACATGAATATGGAAGAGGATATTAGGCTAAGCACTGTAGGTGTGATTAAAAGAGCAGATGCTTCAGCGAGTTAAAAAGAAAAAAGATCAGAATGTTCTTCCCCATTTGAGATCTGTGTTTTTACCATGTTTATCTACTACACTTTCCCATGTTACTGTTGATAAGAAATGAGTGTAAAGGACTCAAAACAGTTAAAGTTCATTTGTACAGAAAATAAATTAGTTAGAATGGAAACCTGAATATATTTAACATATCCCATTAAGCCAGTGTGGCATAGTGGTTTGAGTGCTGGACTAGGACTCTGGAGTCCAGGGCTCGATCCCCAGCTCAGTCATGGAAACGCATTGGGTGACTTTGGACAAGTCACAACCTCTCACCCTCCAGGGAAGACAATGGCAAAACCTCTTCTGAATAAATCTTGCCAAGAAAACCCCATGACCTTCAGGTCACCATAAGCCAGAAACGACTTGAAGGCACATAACAAGAACAACACCAACATCCCATTGAACATTGTTCTCAATATCCAATTCTAAGTAAAATACATAGGTGTGTTGCTAGTCCATAGGGCTAAATAGCTCTGTTTAGCATGTTTTGGTGTTTCTCTGAGCTTATATGATTGGTGAAACTGATATGTCTGTTTAGACCAGGGTGGCCAGCTTTGCTGGGACTAGGAATCAATCCCCTCCCTAGGGCCTGCCATAGGTGGTATTTCTCCTTTATGCATGCTAAAATTCTGTGCTGAAGGTGACAGGAATCTGCTTCTGGTTTTAAAAAAAAACCCCACATTTGTGGTTGTGTGGCCTATCGTGGGGTTTTCTTGGCAAAATTGTTCAGTGAGGGCTTTGCATTTGCCTCCCTCTAAAGCTGAAAGAGTGTGAACTTGGATTCAAATCCTGGTCTCCAGAATTGTAGTCCCATGCTCAAACCACTACACCAAGCTGGCTCTCAATATCCACTCGTGTTATTCTCCTTAAAACAAAGAGAGTACTTTGTTTTGAAGAAGAACATTTCACATTCCAGGACACTTCCAGAAATGTATCTTTAATTCATGGGTGCGATTGTTGAAGGTGAAGGGGCCTGGATGTTTAAAAAAATAGCCAAGGCACACATGTAGTTTGCCAATTTTTGGTATGGAGTTTGGGGGAAGTGTAAACAAGTGTCTGTTTTTGAAAAAATGGGATGGGAAGGGAGTAACAAGACTATATTGAAAGATGTTAACTTTTTATTTCATGTTATGCAACCAGTGTCTACCATATCTGTGCATAAATTGCAGTATTTTGTTTACATATATGGTTGCATGTTGGCTTCCATGGTGGCTTTCTATGAAGGAAACCTATTTTCAAAGAAACATGGGATTCAAAGCAATAGTAATGTTCCTGTGACTGAGAGATTCCAGAATTTAATGGAAATTTTGCTCTGCCAGTAGAACCCCAGGTATTGTATTGCCATATAGGGATACATCTTAATTTAATTCTTGCATGTGAAAATGAAACATTTCAAAAATCTTGATGCTGAGTGAGATTACAAGGATTTTCACACATTTTCAAATTACTTCATTTCAGGACTGTAAAATCATTGTATTTTGCACAAAACACAATTTTATATGCAAAATTCAGTGTTTTTACAAAACCCCAACAAAAATATTAAAATGAATAAAATACACTAATCTTTTTACTCTCATGCAGGATGATTGTTTTTGTGTGGAGCTTGATTACTTTTTTTTGTTGAGACACTCTTTCTTATTAAGCATAAGACTATTTCAAAAAATAATTGATTCTCTACTGCATTGGAAAGAATGTCTTAGATGCTCCATTGGAATAACTCTGTCAGCAAATAATGTTGATGGAATGGTTAAAATGCAGTGAAATTGGGAAGGACTACATTTGTGCCATTTCCTATATTTCTCCACCTGTGTCCTTGTTGTAGTGCAAATTAATACCAGCTTGAGTACAATACCTTTCTTTCCCATTGACATTCACTGGTTTGGCAGCCTTGCTAATATGGTCCTTGCTTCATGTTGCTTTGGTGTTGTCCTTGAAAACAGTTCAGAAATTTCAGTTTGTGCAGAATTCAACGGCTAAAATTTTAGCAACTTTGTCTCAGTGGAATCAAATTATTCTTTTTATGAAACTGCCAAAATGTGCTCTGACCCACTGAGGCTGTTTGGTTTTCTAGTGGCAGTGATGGATGAAATTGCTTCTTCACTTGCTTCTTCACGGACAGAGGAGATTGAAACTGGATCAGGGGCCACATACTCAAAGTAGCTCAATATTGCCAGGACCATTCTAGTTCATTTGGACCTCATCCATCATATTATACAGTTTAACAGTGGTTCAGCATTTCCATAGCCTCATTTGACTCTCAGAGAGTAAATATGGATGCAATCAACATATCAGTAACAGTTCATTCCAGATCCTTGGAGGCCCCTGTTCAGCAGTTTCATACATTAAGAAGACACGATGGAATCCTATGGGACCACACAATTCCAATGCCAATTGCTTCAGCAAGAGCCTCCAAGTTCTTTGTTCTGAAATGAATTCTGCAGTTATAGGTGAAATCAGCACGGTCCATAGCCTGTATCTGTATCTGTATCAATCTAGCAGGATATAATTGTAAATGATATCAAATGCCAACAGGAGATCAAGAGAACCAACAGATGACAATTCCTAATTTCTTCTGAGCAGAAATAATAAACCAGGGCATTCAAAGGTATTTTATTGTCACATCCCACCATAACGCTGAGTTGAAATGAAACTAAATCCAGGATGAGGAACTAAAATTCCTCCCAGTCTTCCACAAGCCAGATAACATTGGGGGATGACCTTTCTCCTTCATGTAACTGACTTCTGTGCATGGTGCAAAGTGATCCCCTGTAGTCAGTGCTGTGTGTGAGAGGGAGGTTTTACCTGCTCTTTTTCTTCTATTATTGGGGAAGATATGAGCCAAGTAAAGCCCTGTAAATCCCCGCACCCCTCCCCCCCCATTCTATGTGCTATCTGCAGGCAGTACTTGGGTCTGGGCTTCTGGATCACTGCCTGCTCTTGCCTGCATGAGAATAGCAAAATTGGAAATAACTTGCTCTGAGGTTGAACTCCAAAAGGGGCTATTTGATCAAATATAATAGGTTTGGAGTGGCAGGATCTTGAGGAAGAGTCAGTAGGGATTCCCACACCTAGCAGGCTGGGTTACATTTGTAAACTGAACACACCTTCTCTTGCTTAATCCAGTTAATTGGGGATGTGCCTAGAGTCTTGATTACTTTGCCCAAAGAAGGATTTTTGGAATAGGTAACAGTTACAATCTTCTGGGCCCACATAGACTTTCTTAAGAACTGATATTGCAATTGTCTTCCTTTCTCAATGAGGCATTAATACACTCCTGAACTTAACAGGTTTGTCTCTTTCTGCTTGTTAAAAGAAGCTTTCAGTTCTAAACCCTTTAAAAAAAATCTTCACACAGGAGTCATTCAAGTGATTTATACTGTTTAGGCACCCATACTAAATCTATAAGCTTATCGCATGGCACTTAAAGAACGGAAAGGAACAGAATGGAACAGAATGGAACAGAACAAAAATGCATTTTACTGGATGGGAGAATGCCACCAATGCCTCTGGGAGTCCCCAAGGCGTTCCCCAGCCATTCCTGGCAGCTGATTTTTGAAGGATGATTTTGAACCGTCCTTCAAAAATCAGCTGCTAGGAATGGTTGGAGAATGCCTTGGGACTCCTGGAGGCATTGGTTGCATTCTCTCATCCAGTAAAATGAGGTTTTGTCCCGTTCCGTTCCATTCTATTCCATTCCTTTCTGTTCCCATTCTTGTAGGCGCCGTGCGATAAGCTTGCTAGATTCAGATTTGGTTGTAGATCTGTATAGAAGTACTGTACAGAAGGGACTGAAATATATAAGTTTATCGCACAACACTTGCAGGAACGGGAACAGAACAGCTAAGGCAGCCAATTTTGAAGAACGATTTTGAACCTTTCTTCAAAATTGGCTGCCAGGAACAGCTGAGGAACAGTTTGGGGACTCCTGGCGGAATTGGAAACGTTCTTCAGTGCGTTAACTTGCTTTCTCACCCCGTTCAGTGCCGTTCCTGTTCCTGTTCCTGAAAGTGCTGTGTGATAAACTCAATAGTTATAAGTTTATACCCTGTGGGGCTCGTTTTATGCCTGGTTGTAATTAATTTTTGACTAGAATGTGAAACTAACTATAATTAAAGAACTATCTGAAACAATCAGAAATATCTGCTTAAAAGGGGAAGGGGGCGAAAAGAGAATTCTGGCTTAAATCAGATGGAAATAAATAATTGTGGGATACATTTTTCTTTGTTTGAAATGTGAATGACCTTGGGCATCTGGAAAAGTGGCCTATATTTTTTTAGATAGATAACAAGTTATTTCAGAGATAGATTACGATGTTGAAGTGCTTCACTAGTTGGCCCAACTGGTGTTCTGATCGTCAGTTATTCCAAATTAACCTGAGGCTTTATACCAGAGGCCTTAATATCACTTGGTACTCCATCTGAAGAAGTGGGTTTATATCCACGAAAGCTCATGCTAAAATAAAAACCAGTTAGATTTCAAGGTGCTGCTGCATTTTCCCCTTCCCCTCCCTTCATCCTTTTTAAGGTGCAAAAGACTAACATG